AACTGTACTATTTTTGGACTGACTGTAGGAAACTGTTCCTTCCACCTTTGTGCCTGATGTTGCAAGATGCTGTTTTCTCCTGTAGTAGAGTAGTGATCTCATAGAGCAGTCTTGCCACACCACCCTCTGTTGCACAGATTCACAGGGGTAGCACTAATATAAGAAAAGATGTCTGAGAGGAGATTTTACTGGGCAAACAGTGGTTTCTATGTTGTTTAAATACACTTCTTAAGCCCTTGAAATGAGTCATTAACCCAGGTCATTCAGATATGGCTACCAGAGCTAAAACTTTTGCAGTATATCTCATCTTAGTCTTCATTACAGTCAAGATGTGAAGGTCATTTCTCATTGTAGCCTCAGAGTTGTGTTTGTTCCAGTTTTTATTTTTTGTGCTGAAGTATTAAATCTATGATTTCAAAAACAGTCACTACATTAATAGCCTTCTGATAATCATAAATAATGTATTGACGGTTAAATGTAGCTATTTGTGGGAAAATACCCATGCAAGTGTAATACATACATGTATATATTAATACTGTGCCTGTACTGAAATAATGTTGTTAATGTTCAGTGTCATCTCAGAAAGCACTCCTCATGAATAAATAATCCAGGACCATAATGTACAATAGCAAAAATCTTCCGGTAGCAAAAATAAAGGAAGCTCTTTGTCATTAGAAATATTAACACTGATGAGAGTCTATGATACAGTTTACCTTCTCAAATACAACTGTCATCATCATTTTCACATGTCTTTCACTAAGCAAGTAATGAATAGTGTATCTCAGAAGCTTTATTTAGATCAGTGTGCTATATTTTGAAATTTCTTTTTGGATTTTCAAAAGTATAATCACTATCACTCTTCATCACACTTACTTGCGTTATCCATTTTCCTCTTTCAATGCCTTTTTTGACTGAGCTTTTTGTATATTTTGTACAGAAATTTAGTCACAGAAACATGTAAACCCAGTTACAAATCCATTAATTTTTTTCTAATATATTAGATTCCTACCTCCAGGTGTTCAAACCCTGTGTGGAGATAGGTAACAAATCTTTCAGTCCTCTGGTGAAGAAGCACAAGCACATCTATTCTTCCTTCTACATTAGAACCAAGACAAAAAGTAATGGTTAGGTCACAATACAGAATCAGATATAGCCCAATGGCCAGAGGGCCATTGTGCTCCAGGTCTCAGAAACTGATCTCTATGGTTTGTTTGCTCCTATTTTGTCTGAAAGTGCCTTTAAATTAATTGCAGATTAATCAGGCCTAACTGGGAGAGACAATACACCCTAGCAGATGGGAAGAGACCCTCACAGTAATTTTGTGCTGTCAAGTAACCTCCACCAACAGCCTACAGCATGACAAAACTATATATATTTTCATTCAATGCTTCTGTGGGATTTTAAAGTTAAAGGAGAAAGCATGTGGTGTGGATTTCTGGAATTTATCAGTTGTGACCCACTAGCTGTGTTCCACATCTGGCCATGAGCATAACTGGTAGATACAGTTCAGACTGCTCAACAGCCACAGATTTGACATCTTCAGACTCATGAAAGCTTGGCTATAGCTGCCCAAATATAATAATTTGCATTTAATCAGAGACTGAAAACTAGACTAATGGTAGAGTGTTGAATTTTTTGAACAAGTGAAGTTCTGAAGATAAACTGTTTTCCTATCAAATCAAAGGCTTTTCTGACCCAGGGAATCTGTAGTCTGCAATTTAGATTGTCATCAAAGGACTGGCTTTTTTAATATATCCTTGATCAGGAGAAATATTTCTGTCAATAGATGCCAGCTGGAGTTACTTATGCAGATCAAGGTATATCTATATTATAGAATATTGATTTGTTTGCATATATTCAAATAAAACCAATTTAGTTTTAAGCTACCTTCTTTGCTAATCACCCGGTCTTGATCTCCTGTTCCTTCTACCCCATCCTTTGTAAACTAAAATGAGCTGCAAAATCTGTCTGATATCAGCAAATGTAGATTAATTAAGAATTCTCCATAACAATCTGTCCTATTTTGGGTCCATGAGATTGAACACTTTAATTCACTTAAACTCTTATTATATTAGATGGTGTGAAAATTACTCTTACATAGTCAAACCCATAGTACATAGGACTGAAGAAATACAAGCTCCTACCTTCTCCTAGAAATAAGAACAGTAACATAAAATTCCTGTGGATTATTTTATAACCCAACCTGAAGATGATAAAAAAGGTATGCGAGAAGATCTGTGCCTAAGGTAAAACCTTTGGGACTTCCTGTAAATTTTAATGACCTAGAAATATCCTGAGCTCGTCCTTTTTCCTAGAGGCTCTGTGCTTCCCCTTCACTGAACAAGTTTTGTGTTGGTTTGAAGGAAGAAAATGGCAGGGAAAGGGAGGGAGGAGGTATAGCTCTGCTGTCGTTTTACATCTCCTTGTCTTCATGCAGGCTAGTACTACTGCTTTCCTGTTTCATGCTTTTGATAGTTGATATTATGTCTTTTCATTATTTCCTCACACTGTTTGTTACCTATACTGAGTGAATCAAATGGAAGGTAATGATGTAAAACAATGTAAGCTGAACCATGAATGTACTGATAAATAAAAATAAGCCAAAATACAGTTTCCATTTGAAATGTTAAGGTTAATTTCCATGACAATAACTTAGAACTGTGGAACAGTCTCCTGAATGAAGCAGTGTAACTTACAATGTTGAAAGTCAGTGTAATAAATTCTTCCTAAAGATGGGAGGAGGCTTTTGGAAATGTGAAAAAAATTGAAGACAACTTCAATTCAGCTAATCTAAACCAGTGTGAATCTCTGAGGAGATATTTTCTTTTCAGTTCAATAATGGCTCAAGTTTCTCTATTAAAAAAACCTAAAAAATTTCAAACAGTCTCATATAAGATACTAGAGTGTCCTTATAGAATTCTGCCTCACTTTGACTTTTTAAATTTAATCTTAAATAAAAAGGTCCTACACCATCCTGGAGTAGGTGGACACATGGATGGTTCCACAGATATTTCTTAGAAAATGTCTCAATTGCATCATTAGCATCACTGGCAAAGAAATACATTTGTGTATTTGAGGCATCACAAGCCAAATTCTCAAACACATGAAGCTGAATTGGAGTCTGAAACCTAAAGCAATCCTTTAGCAAACTGACATACACATTGTATGAAAATTGTACAGACAACTTTCAGTATCTACACATGCTTCTGGATAAGCACTTTCTAAATGCTCCTAGTGTTTCAAAAGAAGTTAGGAACAGACTTGGCTTGTAGCATTTCAGCTTAAAATATTTGGAAATATGATTTGCACTTTTTTCTCTGTTTTTAATTTATCTTACCTGGTATCCCATGCAATTATTTTCCCTCTCTCTCTCTTTTTCTGTAACTCTTTGTTTCTTATTCCCCTTCTAACTGAAATCTCTGCGATTGACCCTGTGCACTGAAATAATGAGATGGCTTACTGTTTATGATTGTGTTCTACACTTAGATACTCTTCTGCAGGCAATTTTACTCTAGGTACCATGTACCAAAAAAGATAATCTTTGCAGTATATTGTGAATGGCTAGTTATTTTTTTAGAGCATGGATAGCAGCTGCTGAAAGGACAATACTGCTATTAAATATTTGTGGTATTTTTATTACTCTCCAAGTGATTTGCTGTTGACAAATTAATTCCACTTCCCAGCAAATGATAGCTGCTAGTCCCTGTGAACTATGCACATGCTGCTTCACATACAAAAGCATTGGTACAAGGGTTTGAAGTTTCCATTTGTGAGAAGGGAAGAGAGGATTACTTTCTTTACTAATGATTTTTTTTTTAGTGTCTTTTATTTTGGCTTGAAAACAGTGACTGTTATCCAACTAACTGAGTTAATTCATGACTTCTCATGTTACTTACCACTGTTAATCAATTATGTGATTCCACTGAAATATCTTTGGTCTTAAGCCTGTGCTGGTTTTGCTGCAGATCACCAACAGTTTTCAATGTATTTTTTTAACTGGAGATGTAGAATTAAACCAGTCACAGGCCCTGTATGGTAATAGTGTTCTTAATTAGAAGTGCACTCTTCTATATCCACCAGTTACATTTTTAAAAAGATAAAAAAAAAAGACTTAAAGAGCAATAGCAATGAAGATAGCAATAAAAGCAGATACATCATCTTTCTACGTGGCATAGACTGTCATAAGCTGTCCAAAGAGTCCTTATGTAGAAAAATCAGTAGTGTAGAGGAAAGATTAAATTAATTTCACTTAATATTTACCATCTTTTACATTGTCTAGTTTTAATGTGTCATTTAGACTCAGTCATCAATAAAGAGTGACAGGATCGGGGGCCTCTCTTAGGATGAGATGGGTTGCCCTGGAGACAGTCAAGATGATGAGATGCATGATTAACCTCATGGGAGATAGAAACCACCCAGCAAGTTTAGAAGAAAATTTACCTTTGAGAAACTGATATCAGAAATCATGTATCCTGGAGTTATCTTCTTCCCCTTCTGAACTATCTGTAGAAGTCACAGGCACATAGATGGGTGCAAAGTGGCAGAATTGACCACAGTCACCATGATGCAACATATGGATTCATATGAAATTCTGTGTTACTGTACCACTAATTGAGACCTGAAACTGTTTCTGTTTGTTTATAATATCTTTATTCATCAGTATTCATCTTCTCTTTAGTCTGAAATCCTATACCATCTCTTTTATAGGTGGAAATTTACTGACTGCTTCCAAAGAAAATTAATAGCTTTTGTTTTCAATTTCTTGTTCAATTTGTTGCTGAGTTCTCAGAATAGAAAAAAAAAAAAAATTACATTTATCTTTCCATTAAAAATAAAAAAAAAATATATATGGGAACATCAGATGGTTTTTAATAACGTTTTACTATTTGAGGAGAGATGAAAATGGATTGTCAGCATTGATTTATGGAGTCTAAACTGCAGCAAAGAATCTTAGTGTCTCAAAATGGCAGCATTTTAATAATAGCAATGCTTTCTTTTAGGAAAGTTCAAGGAAAGGGCGTCAATTCTGCATAAGATTGCCAAAAAGAAGTGCCAGGTGGAAGATGATGAAAGGCAGAATGGAGCTGCTAATCATGGTGAGTGCAGCAGTACAGACTTAAAACCTATTCCTGAAGGCCTTTTTCGCTGTTTAATTTTGCTTGAAAATCCTTAGGGATTAATTTTTCCTTCTACTTCATTTATGCTATTTTAGTAAAAATATTCTGATTCCCTATACAAAAGAGTATGAAATTTTTAGATGGGACAGGAGTAAAGTGCAAGAATAGAAAGTCAGTTAGGGCATTTAGAAAGCCTCCCAACAGGGTTAAAAAGAAAAAAGCAGTGCTGATTTTGTATATGTGTTAAAGTGACAGAAATAGAGACAAAACTTTCTCACAATTTATATGTGAAAATTAATTAATTTATTGAGCTGCTAGTTGAGGATAATATGTGTTACCCATGGTTTCACCCTTGTCACAAAAAGAAAAAACCTTCATATTTAAGATTTGAATTGTCTATCTACTACTTGATGAGAGTCATATAGGCTCTTCTATTCTAATTGTTCAAAATTAGCTTACTGTGGTTTTCCATTAGGAGTAAGAATTTGTATTTCAGTTCAAAAGTTCCTATACTTAAAGAAAATCTCTACTATGTCCTGTTTTCTCCACTTTACCTCTGCATGTTCTCTGCATTAGAAAACCAGATGCAAATGTATCTGATAAAAGCTGAATCATTTTATTAATTGAGACTTTTTCTGACCTTGTACTATGTTTAGACAGTATTTGCTTCCAGAATTAAGCAGTTGGATGGGACAGTCTGTTAATAAACCATAATGCTGTCTTTGGGGTTAAGAGACAACACACATGCACTGAAATAATTACAGATAGTCTGCCACTCTGTTATGACTGTGATCTCAGATTTTTAATTTAGAAGAATCTCAGGATAGCAGTAATGTAACTAGCCAACTGTATTTACTTCTGTGCACAAGAGCATACCATAATGCATGCTGAGCTTAAGTTAGACATTTCATATTGCAATTCCCCATAACTTTATATTGTCCAAGGCATTTTTGACTAGCCACGTTTTTATCTAGTACATACTTAAAGAAGTAATTACTGTTTAGAGAATTCCAAGATAATAAAACTAAGAATCAATTTGAATAAATTTAGTATAAGAAACTAAAGCCCTATTTTATCACTTTAATTCTTGTGAACATTTAGCACAAGGACCATAGGACTCTGTTTTAAATTTCATCCTCTGTTAAGGAATGTTATTAGATGATCCATTTACTCTTTTCCCACATTTTTTGTATGACAAAGAGCTTGATTACAAATCGAAAGTAACTTTACTAATTTCAGGGGTTAGTATGTTATAAAAGTTTTATCTTGTTGAATATGTATGTACTGAGGAACCTGGTGGAAGTCCTCACAAAGCCAGGTCATTTATCAGCAGTCCTGGTCCTAGTTGACTAGAAGTTAGCAAATGTAACACCCATCTACAAGAAGGACTGGAAGGAGGATCTGAGGAACAAAAGGCCTGTCAGCCTGACCTCAGTGCTGGGGAAGGTTATGGAGTAGATCATCCTGGGTGCAGTCACATGGCACATACAGGACAACCACTTGATCAGGCCCATCAACATTGGTTTATGAAAGGCAAGTCCTGCTTGACTAAGCTCATCTCATTCTATGACAAGGTGACCTGCTTAGTGGATAAGGGGAAGGCTGTGGATGTTGCCTGCCTAGATTTCAGTAAAGCTTTTAACACCGTTTCCCACAGTATTCTCCTGGAGAAACTGGCAGCTCATGGCTTGGACAGAGTGCACACTTTGTTGGGTGAAAAACTGTCTGGATGGCTGGGCCCAAAGAGTTGTGATGGATGGAGTTAAATCCAGTTGGTGTCTGGTCAAAAGTGGTGTTCCTCAGGGCTCAGTACTGGGGCCAGTCCTGATTGATATCTTTATCAATTATTTGGATGAGGGGTTTGAGTGCACCCTCAGTAAGTTTGCAGACAACAGCAGGTTGGGTGGGAGTATTGATCTGTTTGAGGGTAAAATGGCTCTACAGAGTGATCTGGACAAGGTGGATCCATGAGCCAAGACCAACTGTATGAGGTTCAATAAGGCTCAGTGCTGGGTCCTGTGCCTGTGTCAAAACAACCCCACACAATACTACAGGCTTGGGGAGGAGTGACTGGAGAGCTTCCTGGTGGAAAATGAGCTGGGGTTGTTGGTCAACAGCTGGCTGAATATGAGCCAGCAGCATGCACAGGTGGCTGAGAAGGACAGTAGCACCCTGGCTTGTATCAGTAATAGTGTGGCCAGCAGGACTAGGGAAGTGATTGTCCCCCGGTATTCATCACTGGTGAGGCCGCACCTCAAATAGTGTGTTCAGTTTTGGGCCCCTCACTACGAGAAAGACACTGAGGTGCTGGAGTGTGTCCAGTGAAGGGCAACAAAGCTGGTGAAGGGTTTAGAGTGCAGGTCTTGTGAGGAGTGGCTGAGGGAACTGTGGTTGTTTAGACTTGAGAAAAGGAGACTCAGGAGAGACCTTATCGCTCTCTACAACTACCTGAAAGGAGGTTGTAGTGAGGTGGGTATCAGTCTCTTCTGCCTAGTAACAAGCGATAGGACAGGAGGAAATGGCTTCATGTTGTGCCAGGGGAGGTTTAGATGGGATGCTATGAAAAATTTCTTAATCGAAAGAGTTGTCAAGCATTGAACAGGCTACACAGGGAAGTGGTTGTGTCACCATCCCTGCAGGTATGGTGTAGTTGTGGCACTTACGGACATGGTTTAGTGATGGACGTGGCAGCGCTAGGTTAACAGTTAGACTTGTTGATCTTAAAGGTCTTTTCCAACCTATATGATTCTATGATTCTCTATCCCCTCACATGTAAATGCAACGTTGCATTCTTGAATGTCTGGGGAGATTGCTGTATGTCACTTTTTACCTGAAGTATTAGGTTCATTGAGTTTAGCATAAACAAAGAGCACTGAATATTGCAAAGAATGCAATTTTTTCTAGGACATAAGTACCAGTAGAATAGTTTCTTCAAATGCAAGCTCACCACACATAAGACTTCTATTCAAAATGTGTACTGGTCAAATGTGAGACATAATTTTGGTGTCTCCTTTAAAGGCAGATGTTAGTCCACCTTCAGTATTTGATGATTTACTCAGACTGAATATATGACAGCAGTTTCACTAATAGATCCATTTCTTAATGTTATGTTGTTTTCCCACTCTTATTTATGGATGATGCCACAGAAAAAAGTGCAAAAGTGGAAGTTGCAGTAACACCACCAGGTGATTCAGGACCAGTGCAGAATGGAATCGCCCATAACGTTGAAGAAGAGGTTAATGTCTTCTTTATTCTTTTTACTTTTATATCGTATGTTTGACTGTGCTTTTCACTGGAAGTATACATCTTAATAGCAAGAAGTTATTAATATGAACTGTCTACAATATATTTAATCTTCATTTACAACTTAACCTATTATATGGTTTGGCACATATAAAAGCTCTTCTCTTGCTCCTCTGACCTTCAGTGTAAGGTAAGATGGTAGTCTGGAACATATCCTTTTAGGAAATGTATTTTTACTTACCAGATAAGAAGTTCACAGCCCCAAATATAGCTAATAGAAATTGCTTGTCTGAATATCTTCACATTGCACAAAATCTGTTCTCTTAAGAGGACAGTCTGTCATGTTGTACTTCATGGTACAGTTAAAAGTAGTTATAAAAGAGGAGCTGTACACAAACTTTTCCATCCTGCTTTCTGTTATCTTGAGACAAATGACAAATTAAGCTGAATGAGGTATAGTATGCAAGTCTTTCTATGACTCTTATTGCATAAGGTTAAAATCTGCAAAAGAAGTAATTAAACACTTTAATGTATTTATTTAAACATATGTATTTTGTAACTAAAAAGATAATAAGAGACTGCATAACTTAGTCTAACTTGCACAATGGCTACTGAAATAGTGTCGTGGTTTGAGCCCAGAGGGCAACTGAGCACCACACAGCCATTCACTCCCCCCTCACCCCTCCAGCACTGAGAAGGAGAAAATAAACAAAGGCTTGAGATTTGAGATAAGACAGCCACAGATGACTCATTACGGTCACAGGCAAAAGACAGACTCATTAGGGGAAGGAAAAAACAACATAAATTTATTACAGATGCTAACAACAACAACACTTAACAGAGTAGGTCAGTGAGAAGCATTAGCACATCTTGAGAACACCTTCCCCCCGCCCCTCCCTTCTTCCTGGGCTCAACTCTGCTCCCCATATCTCTACCTCCTCTCCCAGAGGTGCAGGGGGCAGGGATTGGGGTTGCAGTCAGTGCTGCCGCTTCTTCAATCTTCAGTGGGGGAAGGAACTTCTGGAACTTCTTCCTTCTGCTGCATCGTGGTTCCCCTCTCACAGGAGACAGTCCTCCACAACTTTTCTCTGACTTGAGTCCCTCCCAAGGGCCCCAGCATTTCCCCTGCTTCTCTGGTGTGGGACACCAACTTTCTCTGACTGGAGTCCCTCCCACGGGCTGCAGCCCTTCCTGAGCTGCTCTGGTGTGGGACTCCCCTACATGCTGCAATCCTCCCAGCACTGAACTACAACAACTGGGGGCTGCTTCTTCCCACAGGATCTCAGCTGACTTCAGGCACAGCCACCTTAACTGCTCATGTGGGACCCACCACAGACCATATATCAGTGATTGCTCCACCATAGACCTTCATGGGTAGCAGGTGGGGGGACACCCTGCCGTCTCACCACAGGATACAGGGGGGTCTCTGCTCCGGCACACCTCCCCCCCTCCTTTCTTCCTCCATTCCTCCACTGACCTTGGTGTTCATGCAGATGTTGCAACTCCTCCTCACAAGTCTGACTCCTCCTGACCAGGTCCCTTCTTAAATATGTCATCACAGTGTCACAGCTGATTGGCTCGGCCTTGGTGCAGAGGTGGAGCTGACTTGGAGCTAGAGGAGCTTCAAGAAGCTTCTCACAGGGGCCACTGCTGCAGCCCCCTCCCCTGCTACCCAAAAACCCCACCACTCACTCAAACCCAGGACAAATAGCTATACAGTAGTTAAACTAGCTTATTTCTTAAGTTGTAATTCTTAACCTGACTGCAAAATTTGGCTCTTCCGGGCCCTTTTAAAATGTCTTTTATTTATTAAAAAAAAAAAAAAAATAATGCCACCTGCATCCCAAGTAGTCAAACAAGGGGAAAAATATCAGTGAATTGATTTTACTAAATTTGAGCACTGCTCTTTTACACTGAGACAGCAAAACCTACACAGAGAGAGATAATATTGTTAAAAATAATCCTTGACACATAAGCTTTTATAATGTTTTTGTTCGTACAGTTTGCTTCTTAGCCTTCTCCTTAGGCTATAGTGATACAAGAAAAGTACTGCAAAAGATGACAGAGCAGTGGTCTATACCATAAGGAGCTTCCCCTTATTAAAAGTAGGATGAGCCGTGTTGCATTAACATATAGCAAAATTATGCAAAAAATATAATGAGCATGTTTTGTTTTGAATCATCCCAGGTTTAGGTTCTGATAATTTAGTTGCTTTCACTTACCAGTTAACAAAATTGTTAGTCCAAGTCAGAGATCATCTGGCCTCCTTCATGACCTGAGCAATATTAATGTAGGTGAAATTCTTTCCTTGAAAGGTTCTGCAGCCCACAGGAAAAATTAGAATTGGTGTACAAATAATGGAGTGTGTTTATGTTTGTTCACTGCTTCCTAAACACAATTATCCCTCACAAAGAGCATCATTTATACTGAAACATACTTATGACAGGAAGAGGTTATCCAATTTGTTCTGCAAGACTAAGTAAAAATGTGTAGTAGGGTGAGTCTTTGGGAGAAGATTCTGTTTGCCTTACACAGTTGGAGGTGGAAAAATTATATGATTCTGGCCAACTGGTGTGATAGTACACCAAATACTGGCAGATAGATTTATCTTCACTGCAGATAATTTTGGTCTCTGGGAATAGAAATTGAGAATCAGAATCAAGGATCTAAAAGAGATGGGTATTTTTGGTATACTGAATGATCAGTAATGATAGTTAGTCTCCCATGGAAAGGAGAGCGTAGTAGAACATTAAATTACCTTTTCTGTTAGTCTAAGTTGTTCAGACTGACATGACACTTACAGATCATTGTCAGCCCAACAAAGCATTTCTCTTATGTAAGAGAGATGAGGAAAATCTGTGTGATAAAATATCTCAACACCACACTCAACATTTTAAAGTAAGGAAAAATCAATTTTCAGATCCATTTGGATCCTGTTCTGAGAGTCCAATCTCACCAGTGCAGTGAAATATGTCTTTGGACTATTTTTTAACTTTAGGAAAAAAACTCCAACAAATTCCAAAGCAGAGTGGCTTTTAGACTTCTGTTCTCAAAGGTCAATAAGAGTGACATAGCCTGATGTAACCTGCTAGAGTGCATATAAATCTGTCTGGGGGATGTATGAAAACTCTAACAGACTCTAATAGACTTAAGTAGCTTAAGAAGAAAACTAGTTTTGCTTTGTAAGATTTTTTCCACTAAGATTATTCAGTGAAAACAATGAAGAAAAAAAAAATCTTAAGCAGTCACATCTCACAGCAGTGTCCTTGTGCTATCATTTTGCATTGTAATGAAGCAGTTTCTAAGCTTGTTCAGCAATCTGCAAGTTCAAGCAGCCTCATCATTCAAGACAATGGTTTCAATTTCAAGCAACTGCAGGGTAAGGAGAGACAATTATTGCAAGAGTACATTACTCACCAATGTCTTCCTCTCATCTACCTTTAGACATTTTAAACTTTCAGTGAGTCGGGGTTTGGAACTTTTATGTTAATTTCAGCAACTACTGGGACAGTCTGAAAAACTATTGTGCTGTATCAGAGATGGGATACATTATTTATCCTTAACCAAATGACAAGATGCAGCGAGCTGGGAGATTTGTAACTGATGGAGGAGCGATTCTGCAGATTTAGCTCCATCAATCTGAAAGGAAGGATTTCAGGTGTCTGCTGTCACAATAAAAAATAGCAATCTCCTAATAACATTTTGAGATGGCCCAGGCTGTGTTTCTCCCCAGTGGCCTTTCTAATTTTGTCTTCTTCCAGTGATAATCTGACAGCTGCTGCTATCTCAATTTGCTTCAGTTATTGATACACTGGAACCTATTTTGTAGTTTAAAACTATACATTGGAATTTTTGAAAAGTTGTAATAATAAGTCTGCTCATCCATGTAACAAATAGACATGTGTCTATGATACTTAGGAACCTACCTCACTGTGAAATTCTCTGACTACTCTATACTGTGCAGGGACCCTTCCTCAATGTATTGCCTAGCTTTTTGTGCACAGCTTCCTGATACACCCTCCCAAGCTGTGGCATCACTCTGAAGCTAACACTTAGCTATTCAGTTTCCTTCTGCTTTGTATATTGACCTCATGGACACTAATAGAATTGTTCCTGATTTATAGAATTACAGGCAATGACAGAATCATACACACAGCATTCATGTGACCTTTGATAAAGATTAGAATTTGAAAAAGGGAAATAGGTCATCACCTTCCTAGTCCTTCTTTCTAGTACTTCCAAACTTACCCCTAGGAAATAGTGCATCTTCAAAGACAATGGTATCAGTTCTAAGAGCAGCTCTGTTCAGGGAAATAATACTGGCATACAATAGTATGCCAGCCAGTCCTCAATAATAGTTTCTCCTTCTCTTTCAAAAACTCACTCATTAAAGCTGAGCGACAAGAACTCATTACAGCTCAGTCTTGACCTACAAATGCTCTCGAAAATGTTCTTTTTGTGAACAAGTATTCTTAGTTTTGCACTGAGAACATGATTTGCTTCTGTACCATGAGTAGAATTCCATCTGGAGGCTTGAATTTCTGATGATTTTTCCTTGCTCCATTGCAAAAGGAAGTGCTGTAGTGTCAAAGTTTGGAAAATGTCATATAAAATTTCTTCTCTCCAGTTTTCCACTTCTATATGTTCAAAGATGCAGTTTTGTGATCCATAAGTGCTGTTTAGAAAATCTCTTAAGAAAACTTACCATTAGTGCCTACATGTCCCAGTGATGATCAATTAGAACTGAGAAAATTAGAGACACTGTTCATCTTGAGGAATCAAGCTGCAAGTATACCTTTGGGGGAAAAAATGTCCTGAAAACTGTGATCTGAGAAATGGATATGCTCACATAGCAGGTCATCAAGTATTCCTAAAACATGTTTGGAGTGAGGATACAGAAGACGTGCATAGAGATCTAATTCTTTGTCCTCCATTGTCAAGTTCCACTATGGTCTTCATGTTTTTCCCACTTGCAAAACAAGCATAGTCATA